CAGTATCTCAGACACTGCCTGATATTTTCTTAAACTTGGTAACTACCAGGTGGCTACAACTGGTCCAAGGAGACCTGTTAGAGAAGCTAGGAGAAGCTCTGGACATGATTCAACACACAAATGGCCTGAGGATAAAAACTCCTCTTGAGCCTCTGTTTTTGTTTGGAACCTTCTGCCTGATTTCAGAAGCTGGAAGAGTTCGTTGCTGGGATGGGAATGGGTCCTTCAAAATCTGAGTTATTCTAGTCCAGCATCTCCTGATGTAAATGTCCTGTAGGGAAGGGAGAGCAGTCCTGCAGCAGCGTTCTGCCGTACGGATAAATATATATATATATACTATATTATAAATATAATGAATGATACTTAAACATAAATACAAGTGATTCTGTTTTTTGTTTTTTGTTTTTCAATATATTATTTTGTCAAACATTTCTTGGAAGTTAAGCACCAGTGTTGGTCAAGTTACTTGAAAAAAGTAATCAGTAAGTAATTACTACAGTAATTACCCCCAAAAAGTAATCCCATTACTTTACTGATTACTTATTTTCAAAAGTAATGAATTACTTAGTTACTTAGTTACTTTTTTAAAACACGATTTACAACCTGAATAGGTGATAAAGCGATAGCTCTTTCAGCCCAATTCTACTTTTTCTGCATAATCAATCATACAAAATGTAATCAAATGGAAAAGTCCTTTTTTAAAACTTGTTTTATTAGTTTTAATCTTTTAACTTTATACATCAAGCAAAAATTTAATTATATGCAACATTCTCTGACTGGAAGAAATTTGTTTAACATTTAAACCGATTTTCTGCACATTCCAGCACATAAAATAAAATTTTTTGTGTGTGTTTACACCCATGCAGTGAATAGCAGACGCTAATATTTTTGTCACTTTTTACGGAATCAAACTCAAAGTAAGGTCAGTACTTCCACGCTTTAAACGCTGCATGGTCATATGCTCTCCCGCACTCGATATATTATCCATTGTTGATCTGCACACAGCTATTGGCACGAATGTTGCACTCGCTTACATCATTGTCATGAGACACTCTCGCAAAAAAAAATCACGGTTTTAGTAACGCAGTAACGCAGCGTGCTTACGGGAAAGTAATAGTAATCTAATTACCTTTTTTGCAATAGTAATCCCTTACTTTAATCGTTACTTGAAAAAAGTAATCGGATTACAGTAACACGTTACTGCCCATCTCTGTTAAGCACACCTGAGAGTTTTTTGCTGTCTTTTGTTAATGTGCATTGGTGCTTTCGAGTTCACTCATGGATTTGCTCTTTCATATTCATAGAACATATTCACTTGCTATGACATACTAGACATGGGGAGGATTGACTAGTAGATATCGAGTAAATTTTGGTTTTTGTACCTTTGTCCTCTAAGCTGTATGACATCATTTCACTGAGTAATTGTTCTGGGTGCATTGCATTGGCTGATAATAATATTCGTTCATCACCTGATCTAACCTGATTTTAAGTCCCTACATTCCTCCTTATTGCATTAAAAAAGTGTAGCAAACTAGAGATTTAGTGAAACAAACACAGCCATTCTTTCAGTCTTTCAGGTTTCTCATGTTCAGACTGACTGCCTTAGTCAGCCTCAGGAAGGAAGTCAGCCTCAGGAAACAGTTTCCTGTTTGAGGCTGAATAGCAGAGAAAGTGGCAGAGCATCTAAGCTTGTCTTTTCTCAATTCACTTTAGATTTCTCAAGTCATCTAAAGTGACTTGAGAAAAGAAACAGACTGGGACATCACAAACACAGTGAAGCAGCATCTATCTAGCCAGGTACGGTTCTTGTAAGATTTAAAGATTGAACTTCTTTTCTGAAGATCTAAAGCTGTATTACTAATGTAAAGCTAAGTTTTGTGCTTTGTTCAACCTGGAAGAACTTGAGGATTCTAGTGTAGAAAAATCAACTGTAGTACTATACACTTCCTCAGTAACTGATTTTGTGTCACAGTGTATTATGACCTGTATTATAAAAACAATGTTACAGCTGCTGTGTTTCAAAGATGACTTATCGGATGCTGTAAAGTGACTGCTGTCTTCATGGCGGCCGCTCATCTGCTGAGTTTGATGACTGGTAATAAAGACCCACTTTTGTCTTTAGTTCTGTTGTTTATAATGCTTTTAAACAGTTAATGCAATGTAAAAACACAGACAACAAGTGTCAACTTGGAATGACTAAGAGAGGGAGGGAGAAAACATGAGAGAGAAAACATGGGGGGAAAAGATAAAAGCTGCATGGGTTTCACAAAAAATACAATAACATATAAAAATTCAGGCAATGTTCATTTTATACTATTGGAATTATTGTATTATTTTCCTGTAGCAATACATTTGGTTACTTTGATAATGTGAAAAAGTCATAATCGTGTAACTTTATCAAATTAATCTTTAGTAATTTTGCAGTAAAGGTAGGATATATTCCTTAGAATTTGAAGACAGAAAGCAGAATACAGAAAGACAGAACATCCAGTCATTTCATTTTTAATGAGCTGACAGCAATATTAGGTTGATTTCTGAGAAGTCACTGGTGGTTTTTTATTTATATATGGTTGATGTCTCTTAGTGGTTAGCCAGCTTTCATAATAGCATCTCTCTGTGCATCAGCGTTTCCATTTGTGGGTCATCACCAAAGATATTATTACAACATTTTGTGGTTTAGTGATGTTTTTGACCTTTAGTGATGTTTTTGACCTTCCCTTCTGCTCTCCTCTTCCTCTAAATAGTAAAAATAGTAAAATTTAAATTTTAGTGATCTAATCATGATTTTCTCAGTAATAGAAAGTTAAACATTCCTATCAGGAACTTTGTATGCACACATTCATCAGCATGGTTAAAACAGATTTAGATTTTAAAAAGTTAACCATCAATTTCACAGGCACTTTTCAACAGAAACAAAGGCTAAAGATACATTTTATTTATTTATTTGCTACTTCTGATTCTGTCACATTTTATTCTTAAAATAAACCATGGTTCACAGATGATGCATCTCTTCTCTGTACAGGAAGTATGCAAGTTTAATGCCACAAACTTGCTGATGTTATACTTCTCAACAGTGTTTCTTTAGTTTACAGTGATATTAAATGCTAATCTAAATAGAGGTGACCTGTTAAAAAAAACTTTTTTCTTTTCCACTGTCACCAAGTCCTTGCTCAAATGGAGTAATTTGATTGTTGTGGTTTTCCATGTATTATTGTAGGGTCTTTACCTTACAATATGAAGTCCCTTGTGGCAACTTTTATTGTGATTTGGTGCTATATAAATAATATTCAACTGAACTGAATTAGTTATTAACTTGTAAAAAGCAACATAATAAAAATAGGTTATTCATCCTAGAAAATATATCAATATTTGTCATCTTAGTAGGGGTGTGGGAAAGGAATATTATATTTTGAATTGTATCAATACAAGGACACCAAATATCAATATTTTATTTAATCAATTAAAATAATCTGGGAAGAATTACAACAAGAAGTTTCAGCTCACACACCACCATCCAGAAATAACTTTAGACAAGCGAGCGTACGTTAAATCAGCTCAACCGAAATAAGTGCCCAACACTGGACACACATAATTAGACGAAGCTACATCATATTTAAGAGCAAGTCAGTTGCTCAGTCATATGAGTAAAAGTAAAATAGCAACCTCCTTGCATCAGTCAAAAACACCAGTCCCTGTCTGGTAAATTGACCTTTTTCAGCAACTGACTGCAACTTGTGGTGACTAAACCCATTTGTAGGCATTTTGTGGTCATGAGTGTGCACGATATGATAGATTGACAGCATGTAGCCATCAGTCTCAATGAGTCTTTGAGACTTTATTCAACTGGCTGCCTGCTGGTTGTGGTCCGGTTATATTCCTATAGAAGGTGGCTGAACACAAATGTAATAGTTAAACATGAATATCTGTTAAATGGGAATTTCAGTCTAGACAGTAACGTGTGTGATTTTCAGTGACTTATCACTGTTAACTGTTGTATCATCAGAAGATGATTGCTTTAGATTGCATGTAATTGCCCATTTGACCCCATTCAGTCAGAGTGTCATGGTCGATAGCAGGGACTCAAGCGCAGAGCAGGTTCCAACACAGTTTATTTACAACACCAGTGCAGGATATATAA